ATATTTTTCCTTTCTTATAACAACATTTCTATCATTCTAAATATTATTTCATCTCTCTTTTCTGAAAATTCTGTATTTTCAATTAACTCATCTAAATTAATTCTAGTATTATTAATGAAGTTATCAATGATATTCTCATGTGATGTATTGAAATATTCATTTAATATTATTTTGAAACTCTCATTCATTTTGGTTTGTTGATTAAATTCATGTAAAAAATCATCAACTTTTATTTGTGGAAATTGTTTGCTAATCAAATTCCCTCTAAGAATAATTTCTAATTCTTTTGGTTCACTGTTTAATAGAATTTGTGTGAATTTAGTTTTACCTGATGATGATGAAATATCAATATTCATCCAATGTAAAATATCTGGTAATGGAATTCTGAAATATGATAAATGTGTGATGATTGATGGTAATTGAAATACACTATTCTCATGACATTTTTGATATGAAAGAAATTTAGATAAAGTAGGAATATAAGGAATAAATTCAGGATTAACATCAGCATCAATGTAATATTCATTGTTAATAATATTTGTTCGTAGAATAACAAATTTATTATTAAATTGATATAATTCATATTTTTGTGTATCAATTTTAATTTGGTTGATTCTTTGAATGAATGAAATATTAATTGTTTTATATTTTGTGTCAATTGAATTAATGAAATGAGTTGATTGTCTCATAGTATTTGTGTTTCTAATATTCATATCTTATAATTTATATTCTTTTCAAGTTATATTTTTGTTTTTTTTTTAACAATTTTAATTGAATTGTTAGTTCACCAAACATAATGAACAACATAATCATTCCACATGAAATTGATATTCCAATCAACAACTTCCTCATTCAAAGTGATGGAAAATGTGGGGTTTATTTTCATGATAAAGAAACACATGAATTGTATCAATACATTCAAAAATCACAAAGAGTAATTAATGTTGAACACCAATTTGTTGGAACAATATTGTTCACATTGTCAGCTAACAAACAAGCATTCATTACAAAAAAACAAACAAGAAATATCATGGTTAAAACAAATGAAAGTAAAACACCAGCATTAATAAAAGTAAATGATGATCCTCAAATACTTTATTTTATCAATGATAAAACATTGATGATAGTAGGATTAAAAAGTACAACATTGGTATCATTAAATACATTTATTCCTTTATCTACTTATAAATATTTAAGACCATGGAAAATAATACATTACAAAAACATAATTGTGTTATTATATAATGATTTAAATAAAATTCGAGGAATTGTAATAGAATGTATAGGAGATACAATATCAAAAACATCAGAGATTGATGTTAGTAATCCATCTCAACAAAAAGTATCACTTCCAACAATTCAATTAATAATTATCATGGAAATACCTTATTTAGCCATTCATTTCAATGTTGGACCAATCTATTTATTCAATTTAAATAATCCACATGAAATTGTGAATAGATATGAATCACCAAATGGAAATATTATTATAATGTCAATTGATGATACATTAGTTATATTTGATGGTAAGAAAGCATATATTCATAATATCATCACTTTTAATACTATAACTCATTTGAAATAAACAAGAATCAATTGAAAAGTTAAAGGAAAAGAACACACAAAGAATTAATATTCACAATATCTAAATTATCACCAAATGTCCAAT